AGCTCAGGTTTGCTAACTTTGATTTTCAAAAGCATTTGGTGCTTTTAAGACCTTTTGGTCTTTTAATACAGAAGACTATAGTTCAACACTGATATTCTGAAGTATAGACTCCTAAAAAAGTCCAGATTAGAATTCACTGAGAATCCTGAATGTGAGAATTAGTTTCTTTATTTAAATTAGGTAAATTAGCTACCATCTCTTCCCTATTCTATCATCTCTGGAACCTCTTCCTTGCTTCTCAACTTCTTCTATTTTCCATCTTTATTTCTGTGTATATTGTATCCCGTGTAATTTCTTTAGGTCTATCAGCCAGTTCACTAGTTATTTCTCTACCTATGTCTAGCCAGCTGTTTAACATGTTGATGTTTTTAATTTCAAGTTTTATGCTTTTTATTTCTATAAGTTTTAATTGTTTCTTTTTAAAATCTGCCTGGTGTTTTTCTGTAGAGTTTCTCATTTTGTATTCAGATGTTCCATTTTCTCTTTAAATATGTTGGATAGATTTACTTTCTGTTGTGTATCTGATGATTTTCAAAATCTGGAGCCTTTGCTAGTCTGCTTTATATTATATCTGCTCACTCACTCATGGAGACTTACGTCTTTGTGTGTGTGTGTGTGTGTGTGTGTGTGCGCTGACCAAAAGTTAGGATCCCGGAAACAGTGTCAGTGGGAATTATTTGAGGACATGCTTGAGGGTGAAGATTTTAGTTTGATTCTGTCAGGCTCCTGGGACCACTTTGGATCAAATTCTCAGTTTCAGGTTTTTCTGGACCCGAGTGTGTGCTAAGTCACTTTAGTCGTAGCCTTCCAGGCTACTCTGTCCGTGGGATTCTCCAGGCAAGAATCCTGGAGTGGGTTGTCGTGTCCTCCTCCAGGGGATCTTCCCAACCCAGGGATCGAACCCACATCTCTTACATCTCCTGCACTGGCAGGCGGGTTCTTTACCCTTAGTGCCACCTGGCAAGGTGGTGTTAACTGAAGTTATGTTCGTGCGTGAAGACTAGTTTGCAGCTATGAGTTTCCAGGGCTGCCGTTTCCCCCTGCACCCAGAGTTGAAATGGAGACAGACTCATTTCCTCACTGACCCCTTTCAGGGCAGGCTCGTCCTACCTCACCGTTGCAGTGGTTTCCGATGCAAACGCCCACCTGCGTGCCCCTGAGACTCGTCTTCTACAGCTGAAGCTCTTGTTCCTCGTGGTTGACAGAGGATGCCTCTGGGCTGGTTCTCCTTCCAGCATCCCTGCTCCTGCTCTGCTTTTGGCATTGAGAATTTCCTTTTCTTTTTCACAAGCTCGGTCATGCATTTACGAGGATACTGTTTGCATTTAATCTAGAACGTTAGAGTTTTTCGTGGGAGAGCGTCAGTACGACTTTTTGCTGAACTAGAAGCCTGTTGCAGAGCTCCTCCATCCTCTTAGCTGCAAGGGGACACGTGCTTCGCTTTCCTCATGTGAGCCTTCTTTTATGACCACGGTGGCCCCAGTGGTTAAGAATCTGCCTGCCACTGCAGGAGACGCAGTGGACACAGGTTTGATCCCTGGGTCAGGAAAATCCCCTGGAGGGCAACTTGGCAACCCACTCCAGTATTACTGTCTGGAAAATTCCATGGAAAGAGGAGCGTGGTGGGCTACAGGCCCTGGGGTCACAAAGAGTCAGACACGATTTAGCGACTGAGCAGACACATTACGACCACACCTCTCACTCCGACTAACAGCTGTTGGCTTTCATACAATTTCACATTGAGGAAGCAGAGGGGGAAAAAAGGAATGAAATTCTGTCTCCTCCTCCTTTGCCAACTTAGAATATAAACACTCCAAGAGTGGGCACTTCCTTAGGAATGCTTTGAATAGTAAGTAGCTGCTCTTTTTTAAAAAAATATTATTTTTACTTATTTACTTATCTGTGCTGGGAATTCGCAGTATGCAGGATCTAGTTCTCTGATCAGGAATCAAACCTGGGTCTCCTGCATTGAGAGCGTGGAGTCTTTCTTAGCCACTGGCCACCAGGGAAGTCCCTGAGTAATTGCTCTTAATCATGAACGCTCATGTGTTTCCACAGATCTGTATGACGAACGGGCTAGTCACTACTACCTTTAGATCAGCTTTAGATGGCTGAGTGCTGAAGAACTGATGTTTTCGAACTGTGGTGTTGGAGAAGACTCTGGAGAGTCCCCAGGACTGCAAGGAGATCAAACCAGTCCATCCTAAAGGAAATTAGTCCTGGATATTCATTGGAAGGACTGATGCTGAAGCCGAAGCTCCAATCCTTTGGCCACCTAATGTGAAGAGCTGACTCACTGGGAAAGACCCTGATGCTGGGAAAGATTGAAGGTGGGAGGAGAAGGGGACGACAGAGGATGAGATGGTTGGATGGCATCACTAATTCAATGGATGTAAGTTTCAGCAAACTCTGGGAGACAGTGAAGGACAGGGAAGCCTGGTGTGCTGCGGTCCATGGGGATGCAAAGAGTCGGACACGACTTAGCACCTGAACAACAACAGGATGGGTTTGGAGCTGAGCTGGCTATTTAAAGTCATCCCTGATTGACTCTGTATATTAAAAGGCATGCTTTGGTTGAATAGCATAAGAAATTTTGCTTAAAGTGGGATACTTTTGGCATTGTGCAGCTATATGTAGATTTAACCAGCACAAGGTAACTAGGGGAAGCCTCTGGTATTATCTCAGTGGGCAAAGCAATGACTCTTTCACAATCATATATTTGCGTGTGTGAAAGTCGCTCAGTCCTGTCCAACTCTTTGTGACCCATGGACGGTATAGTCCATGGAATTCTCCAGGCCACAATACTGGAGTGGGTAGGTGTTCCCTTCTCCAGGAGATCTTCCCAGCCCAGGTCTCCCGCATTGCAGGCAGATTCTTTACTGTCTGAGCCACCCAGGAAGCCGCGATTTATATATTTAACAGTCAGCAAATGTCCATCACCCAGAGAAGCGACAAGTAAAGCCGTATTTCCTGGCCTCTGAGAAGCTGCCTTTGCCTGCTGCCTTTCGGCCCGAATGGGCTGATAACCACCTCAGGCTCACTGGCCCGGCAGGAAGATGCTTCTGCTAAAGTCTGGTCTAGCAGAAGGATGACAGAGTGGTTGACATGCTTCATTACCCTAGGAGAACAGCTACTCATCACTCCTCTGATTTCTGGCAATAGTTACCTCCCCCAGTTCCTTTCACCAGCAAGGGAATGCTCCCAGAGTGGAAGGCGACCCCGCAGCTTTGGACACTTCTCTGCATCATCTTCCTGGAAAGCACCGCCAGTATTTAGTTTGCTCCTGTCACCCAGAGCAGGGATACTCATCTAAAGTGAGCAAGGGCGTGTTTCTCCCCAAGCCTTCCTTCCCTGTGCCTCGGAGACTATGGGGGAGCCCAAAGGGTCCCGTGGACAACAGACCCCAGAATTATTTAGGAAATACGGTCTGGAGATGAAGTAAATGCTTTCCAAAGCTTTGCAACTCTCTCTCGCCAACCTACAAAGGACCGTTGGAGAGCTTCAAAATGAGGAAGTATAAGATAATAAAGACTGAGATCAGACTGAGGGGAGTCGTCACAGAGTGAATGATCCTCTTTCATCTTTGGAATCCTTTAAAGCTGTACATTGCCCCGGTTATCGCCAAAGATTCCAAGGAAAAGGTGCCCGGTCGTCAGTTGTGTTAAGAATTTCTAAAAATGGAGGCTATGCTTTGAGTTTAAAAAACTGTTGAACAGAATGATGATCTTTGTGTTATTTCATGAAGTCTGAGACCTCTTAGACCTCCTTACAAGCATAGCTGTCTTCACAATAACAAGTTCATCAGTGGAGCCGGGAGTCAGACGGTGCTTCGGCTGTTTGTTACTTCCACTAGTCCGAGCGAGGTTCATTCATCAAGCAGCTCCTTTGTGTGCCTCTGGTTCTGAGTTGTCATTTCTCCCTCCCTCCCCACCCCACGTGTCTGCGTGGTGAAAGCACCCTGGAGCTGCCTTTTCACTGGGCAGTGCCTGCAGTCTTAATTAACGCGCCCACGTCTGTCAGGAAGCACAGTGTCCCGTGGTATGTGGTAACATTGATATGGATCGCAGTCTAATTTCGAGCCGCTAAATGTCAGGAGAGCAGAGGCCACCCCGTTTTTGGACCTGGACTTTGAAGGCAGGTCTCGTTGCTAGGCTCCTCATCCCCTCCACTGGCTCCCATGGAGTCGAAGGGAAACAGCCCGCAGCTGGAAAAAGTCTTCGCACACCAGGGCAGCTTCCTTTCACGTCCCTGGACAATGGGTGAAAGCAGCTATTGTCAGCAGCTCCCAAGGTAGCCGTTCTTCCTGGGCAGAAATAAGAGGATGAATCATTTGAACAAGATCTTGAAATATGAGTAAATATCATCAAATATGGAAAGGGGTATTTTCAGGGGGTTCCACTCCTGGCTACGAAGAATCGTTAAGACAGACCAACTTTCCTACCATGAGCTATCATTTAAGAGCCAGGTAAATTACCAAAGACACCTGTTTGAAGGCATTGGGGAGTAACCAAGGCAACCAGGATGTGGCCACTTCTGCCTTCGGGGCATTGATGCTCCAAGACGTGGAGCCAGAAGCAGAGCAGAAGCGCTGCGCAGGGTTGCTGGCAGTCTCAAGGTGCTGGGGACACAGTGAAGCCCACTGCCACAAAGCAGTGAGGACACTGGTGAGTGGAGACACTCCACTGCGAGTGGAGACACGCTTTACAAGCCCAGTTGATCACCTGGTGGTGGTTTGGTCGGTAAGTCGTGTCCGACTCTTGAGAGTCCTTGAACCGTAGCTTGCTGGGCTCCTCTGTCCATGGGATTCTCCAGCAAGTATACTGGAGTAGGTTGCCATTTCCTTCTCCAGGGGATCTTCCCAACTCAGGAATCAAACCCAGGTCTCCTGCACTGCAGGCAGATTCTTTACCGACTGAGCTACGAGAGAAGCCCCAGTTTATCACTTAATTCACAATAAATGAGAAATAAAACTGTTTAATATAGTGCTTGCTCAGCAGACCATGCCTTCCCCTCCTTCGACAGACAAACCTGCTCCTCATCAGAAAGTTCTTGCTGAGTGTAAAATCAGATTCTCAGGGGGGTGGAGTTGCATGTTTCCGGTCGGAGGCAGTCAGCCTAACACGAGGGCTGGTTGCTTTGTGACGGGCAGCTTGAACCCTGGAGCAGGCACCCTGTCCCTGGACAGTACCAGAGAGGCACTGTTTTTGTTTGTTTGCTTGTTTTTGTTCTTTTTTTTAACTGTAAGAGCAGGCACAAAGTCTATTATTACAGATATAGCATGCAACAAGAGGGAGAAACAGTTTATTTTTAATATTTATTTTCATTTCAGTATTTGGCTACACTGGATCTTAGTTGTGGCACGTGGGGTTTTCGATCATCACTGCAGCATGTTTCCTGACCAGAGACTGAAGCCAGGCCCTCTGCACTGGGAGCTTGGAGACCTAGCCGCTGACCGCTGGGGAAGCCTCCATGTAGGCACTGTTGATTCGACTCTTTGGTCTCCCCTTTCCTCTCTTTCCTATGATCACCATTCTTTTAGTTTGCACAGAATGCCTTCAATCAGGGTAAAATATGATTAATTTGGTTTCTGAACTCACTGGCTTACACTCATGTTCCAGTCCTGGGGTGTGCTGGAGCCAGCTCCCACTGTCTTGGAAGAATTGACTATGCTTGTCTCTTCCCAAGTCTGCAGCCAGTTATGTTGAGTCAATAGCTCAAACTGGCTGTGGTGGAGCATTTCCACCATGGAAGCTCTAAATCCTACATGTCAGGACTTCTTCCCAGAGAGCCTGTTGTTAAACACTGACCAGCACACCACTGCCCAGACCTCTTCATCCGAGTCTGGGGTGTATTACAAACTCTTGGGTCTCACATTTCTAGAAATTCTCTGATTACTCCTGCAAGTCATTCGCATTGTCATCATCCAAGAGTTCAAGTACATCTCTGAACCAGTGAACCAGTGAAGTTGCTCAGTTGTCTCCGACTCTTTGCGATCCCATGGATTATAGCCTACCAGGCTCCTCCATCCATGGAATTTTCCAGGCAAGAGTACTGGAGTGGGTTGCCATTTCCTTCTTCAATCTCTGAAAGCAGCCTCATTCCTCTTATCTCTAGATTCCAGAGGGGAATATTTCACTTTTGCCCCAAATACTGAAGAAGGAAATGGCAACCCGCCCGCATTATTCTTGCCTGGGAAATTCCACGGACAGAGGAGCCTGGTGGGTTACAGTCCATAGGGTTGCAGAGTTGGACATGACTTAGCGACTAAGCAACGACAACCACCAGCAGAAGGCCGGACTGTGAAGAGCCGTGAAGAGCAGCCTAAGAGGAGTGAGAAGGAAAACTAAGCCCGGACACTGCTGCACTGCCCCATGAATGGTGACAGAGGCCGGCCTGGGCGCACACTCGTCCACCACCCAGACTGTCATTTCATCCGAGAGCCACCTCATTCCACCACCTGGGGAAACGTTCTCCCAGAATTACTGATGAGTCTCGAGGACTCTCAGAATGCCACTACACTTCAGTCCATTGCATACTTCTCTTTCCACACCTATCTTCCAATTAGTCAGTGTTTGGGGAGGGCCCTTGAATCCCAGGAGATAGATAGTCTTAGAAACAGACCCTCAGGTCTGTTATGCCAAAACTAAGTCACGTCAACCACCCAGAGGACAGAAAGTCCGTGGTCATGGAATGACAACTTAATGGTTGATGAGAAGAATTCATGGTTTTATTGTATTTATTTATACACAAGCATCTCAGGTGATTGTTGTTATTAATATACATCCAAAGTCTATTTCTTATAACCTGAAATTTTCCCCTGTTAAGCCCTATAATGACTGTACCCTGAGCAAGTGAGCTTTTGTTTTGCTTTGTTTTGCCTCAGAGTATAGCCTGAAGTACAGTTCTGATTGCCTTGTAAACAGCATCTTCCTTGAGTAATTATCTCAGTAACCGCAGGTGGTTGTGGTTGATCCAAAAAATTTCCCTTGTGAGACAGAGTCTGTCCATGCTTCCCATTAAGTCATGGAGACCAAACCTAAGAGTGAGGTTGAATACTCATTCAATATTTACTCAGGGTGAGTTCACAGCAGCAAAGAGAGCTGAGAAAAATAAACAGCCATCAGCACAGAAGAACCTCATTAAATCAGCTGATGGGAGCTGGTAGATTTTCATATTTACTGTAACATGATGGTGTATAACTCAGGAATCTCCTAGAAGGCCTCCAGAAAACAGACTTAGAAAAAAAAAACGAAGACGCAGAGCTTAAATATTCAAATTTGTTGTTTTTCAGTCACTCAGTCTTGTCCGACTCTTTGCAACCCCATGAACTGCAGCACATCAGGGTTCTCTGTTCTTCACCATCTCCCAGAGCTTACTCAAACTCATGTCCATTGAGTCAGTGACGCCATCCAACCATCTCATCCTCTGTTGTCCCCTTCTCTTTCCTTCAGCCTTCCCAGCATCAGGGTCTTTTCTAATGAGTCTGCTCTTCACAGTAAATATCCATATACTTTCTTTTAAAATAACATCTACCTGTGCAGTCCTTTAAGCTTTTCCAAAGATTCTTCATCTATGTTATTTTATTGAAATTCTTATAACAACACTGTGAGGGGGTGAGGTGCGCAAACTATGTCACATCTCTCTCTTCTCACAGCTGCAGAAGGGGACACTGAGGTTCCAAGAATGATGATGCTGGCCAAAGTGACCCAGCAGTGGAACCACAGTAATTCAGGTTCAAGATTCTCGGCTGGGCATCTATTGTGCTGACCACAGGCTCACGGCCATTTGTTTTGAAGGTGAAACGTACTTAACTATAGGGGGATGTTTACTTTTGATTAAGATGTTTAAGTGGACTTCTCTGGAGGCTCAGACGGTAAAGAATTTGCATGCAATGCAGAAGACTTGGGTTCAATCTCTGGGTTGGAAAGTTCCCCTGGAGGAGGAAATGGAAACCCACTCCAGCATTCTTGCCTGGAGAATCCCATGGACAGAGGAGCCTGGCGGACTATATAGTCTATAGTCCATGGGGTCGCAGAGAGTCGGACACGACAGAGTGACTAAGGGTTTCACTTTCAGAAGTAGCAAAAAGAGGTGTGGTTGGAATTCGGGTCCTGATACTGAGGCTAGTGTTGGCGCAGGTCTCCACAGTGGCTCTGATGGACCCGCCCCTGGAATTCATCCTCTGTCTGGGCCCCGCCCACTCTGGCCACGTGACTCACTTCAAGCAATACAGCGCGCACAGGGGATGCTGCGCCAATTCTGGGGCTAAGCCTTCCTTAAAGGTGTTTTTGCACTTTGTGGAGCCCTGAGCTGCCGTGGTAAAGGTCCAGTTACCTGGAGAGATCACCTGAAGAGGTTACATTGAGAGGGAGAAGGCCTGAGGCTACACGGGGAGAGAAAGAGAGACAGACGGACAGAGAGAGGAGAGGCAGGGAGCCCCTTCGGAGCCCTCTCCATCATTCCAGTTGTCCCAGCCTTGGGACAGGGGTTGCTGACCCAGAGCCTCAGTTCTGAATGACCTGAAGCTCATGATGCACAAATTCCCACTCGACGAGTGTCTTTTCTGCAGAAGGGTGATATATTCCTCCGGGTTGTCATGATTTCTTTTCTGTTTTGATGAATTGGTGCAGCCACTATTAAACATTGAGTTTTATTTACGTTTGGCTGTGCTGGGCCTTTGTTGCTGCGAGAACGTTTCTCTAGTTGCGGTGCGCAGGCTTCTCGCTGTAGTGGCTTCTCTTGTTACGGAGCACAGGTTCTAGGGTGCGTGGGGCTTTAGAAGCTGCAGCTTCCGGGCTCTAGAGCCCAGGCTCAGGAGTTGTGGTACATGGGCTTAGTTGCCCTGCGGCATGTGGGATCTTCCTGGATCAGAGATTGAACCCGTGTCTCCCGCCTTGGCAGGTGGATTCTTCATCAGCGAGCCACCAGGGAAGCCCTGCCACTATTTCTCAAGGAGTACTAGTGATCAAGTAGTATTGGTAATCAAGGCTCAGTTGTGGACATGTAGGGAATGACTGTGGCCTCTCTCCTCAAGTTTATATTCTCACTGGGAATATTTAAAAGTGACAGTAGGAGTTAAATAACAGTCTCAGTTGAACAACGATAGACGGTAACAGCACAAGCTGGGTCCCAGGACAAGACATGATGAACTCATCAATGGCAGGTCACAATGCAGAGAACAAGGAAGTGACTTTGGGCTGAGCTTGTTTGGGGAAGCTTCACCCAGAAGAGGACAGTTTTTTAAAATTTTTGGTCACACCATTCAGCATGCTGGATCTTAGTTTCCTGACCATGGTTCGAACCCGTGCCCCCTGCATGGGTGTGGATCTTAACTACTGGACCACCAGGGAAGTTCCAAGAGGATGTGACCTTGCCGCCCTGTCACCAGTGGCAACAGCGTGCCAGACTCTCAGTGCAGCAACCAGGCCACTGGTCAGCAGGCTGAGGTCCATTAAGCTCGACAGCCGGACTGATATGGTTATGGTGGGAATCAATGTCCAGAGTGATTTATACTTTCCATTCCCCAGACCAATTGCTTTGTATTTCTTAGCATTACCTGATGAATCTGTGTGCTAATTAGTAGCTGTTACTTCATTCTCAGCAGCTTAACCTGCTGCCAGAAATTCTGACGGAGCTAAAAATGAAAGATTGCCAAGAGACACTAATTACATCTCAAGGGACAGGCCCAAGATATTTAGATTATCTTTTCTCCTCCTTTATTGCCTTCCCCTGGTGAGTAAGTTTGCTCTAATCACTTTTGAAGGGAGCAAGTTACATCACAACTCCAGCACCTTGGGGTTTGTACGTGTAAGGGCTAAGAGGAGGATTCGATTCTTTAGCAGAGTGGTTGGCAGTCTTTGAAATGAGGTGTGTCCAGGCCATTTGCTGGCTACACATTTGCACAAAGGATAAAATAGGGCAGATGGTGGGATGAGACATCACTGTGCCAACAATAGTCTGTCTAGTCGAAGGAATAGTTTTTCCGGTGCTTACGTATGGATGTGAGAGCTGGACCAGAAAGAAAGCTGGGCACCAAATAATTGATGCTTTCGAACTGTGGTGTTGGAGAAGACTGTTGAGAGTCCCTTGGACTGCAAGGGGATCAAACCTGTCAATCCTAAAGGACATCAACTCTGAATATTCATTGGAAGGACTGATGCTGAAGCTGAAACTCCAATACTTTGGCCACCTGATACAAAGAGCTGACTCATTTGAAAAGACCCTGATGCTGGGAAAGATTGAAGGCAGGAGGAGAAGGGGACAACAGTGGAGGAGATAGTTGGATGGCATCACTGACTTGATGAATGTGAATTTGAGCCAACTCTGGGAGACAGTGAAGGACAGGGAAGACTGGTGTGCTGCAGTCCATGGGGTGGCAAAGAGTCAGGCGTGACTGAGCGACTGAACCAACTGGATGAGTGCTCACTTTGCAGCTCCTGGTTCAGGGCGTGGACTCTTTTAATCTGAAATGAAGGGATTAAGGCAGGCAACAGTACATGAGGTCGTAAGAACCGGACATGACTGAGCGACTAAACCACCACCAAGGTGGTAGAAACAATTCATGTCCAGCAAAACCTCG